AGTGGTAAAGGTCCGTATCTCTGCAGGCAGCTCGTTCCATAAGGCTGGCGCAGCTACAGAGAAGGACCTCCCCCGGGGGGAGCCGCCAGCCAGCATTGTCCGGTCAACGGCACCTGGAGGAGGCCCAACCTGTGTGATCTTATTGGTCATTGGGAGGTGAATGGCAGGAGGCGGTCTCTCAGGTAGCCAGGTCCAATACCATGTAGGGCTTTAAAAGTAACAACTAGCACCTTGAAGTGGGTTCTGTTCTGTTCTATTCTATTCTTGGACTCCAAAAGGATTGAGAGATATTAACATGGGATATGTAAGAGGCACTGTACTTGTGAAGGTCACAAATCTACATTTGATTTACTTTGACCATGTCATGCATGCAAATTTATTCAGAAGTCAATGATGCTAGGAATGGAATAAGAAGAAAGGAAATCAAGGAATAAGCTTGCTCTATAACAGCACAACTGATGCAAAGATGAACATCCAACAACTGAAGGAAACTGTGCTTGACAGGGTAGCATGCCCATAAAGTTACCAAAAGTGAAACATGACTGAATGGTTAAAACAACAACTTGTGAAGGGGCAGTAGCATTTCTTCCTCTATCTATTTCTGCAGAAATTGCTTAGGAGGCCTTATTGGGTGCTGCTTATCTTGAAGAACTGAAACACATAAATCCAGGTTTGTTCTGAAGTACTGAGATAAGATACATTTGCATGATGGCTCTCAAGAAACTAAGCAGAATTATAAAATTTTAGGGAGACACCAGAACTGCTAGCTAAGGTGAAAATAAAATAGAAGCATACCAAAGGAAAGTAGTTATAATCCATTTAGATGATATTGCCAAGAAGACTCCTTGGACATGTCCATGAAGTCAGCATGAGTTGAACTTTTCGAAGAAACGCTATAGTAGAGAAAGCAGAACATCAGCAGAGGTTGCTAAAAGGTGCCATCCAGTTCAACAGTTTTCTGACCTTTTTGTCCCCTGATAAAAAGGCAAACAGCTGAAGCTCCAATGATAGCTTATCACTTTTGAATTTTGCTGTAATATTATAGTTTTCATAAGTGCCCTTGAATGCAAAAGTACAAACTTAATACCCATGGGAAAACTTTAGATGTTCACTGGCCTTATTTTGCTCGCCAAGCAGAAAAGGGGCTGTTTTTCAGAGCACTTTATTCATAACAGCTTTTAATTTTATTTCGTATCTGAATCAGATTTTTAATTATTTCACCCTTCTTTCACTTTCTTTTATTTAGCTCAGTGTAATGTGTCATATCATAATATATGTTTTATATAAGGTCTAATCAAACAAACAGAAGGTTGTTTTGTTTTTGCTTTTTTCCTTATTCATTTCCCCCTGAAAGATCTTATGCAAGTTACTTTTTTAGACCTGGTATTCATATTTAGCCCAAATATACCTTTTGTTTATTAGGACTCTAGCAGTGCTACTGTATGTTGCTGCTATATTGGGTTAAATTGTGATCCATAATGGAGACTGATTCACCAGCTAAGATTAATGGTTTAGATCAAATATTATTTATCTTTTAGGCCATTCACTCCTTTGAGAATCTGGTGAAACCTACAGATCCACTTCTCAGTTAATTTATTCAGGTGTATAAAATACAGAGCTAGAACTGTATTGCAAAGGAATATAGTGCCTCAAATACAGTTATCAAAATATGAACTAATAGAACCCTAACCCTGTTTTAATCTGGCTCAATCCATGCCCAGGGGATGCATTTCCCAGGATTTTCATATCCATTGGGATCTTGGGAATTTCTATCTGGAAAATATCAGGTGGGGGAACATTGGTCTATGGAATATGAGATGTTTGCCTATCAATTTAACAAAAGAAAGTGTTTTAGAAAAGAGGAAAAAGTTTGCAACAGAATCCATTGTGAATGTAATCTAATTGTTGAAAGCTTGATGTTCTGAGTTTGATTTTTTGCCTACATTTTATTACCCATCTAGGCAACAATATCAGTGCTAGTGAGAGTGAGGTTTGCTCCCTGTTTCTATACAGTAGCTTGCCTTATGAATGCTGGTGGAAATGTTTTTTTTTCATTAGTAATTCCTTGATTAAGGTATTGTTTCTGTTTGATAGTTTGTTTGGTATTAATCTCTGCTTATCTGGGTGTTGTCTGCTGGAAAGGATATGTTCTGATCTTTTTGTTTCTTTGTGGTTTTTATTGTTTCTTTTGAAAGGTCTGTAAATGTGGTTTGTCTCTATGTGTCTGTAGATGGCTGATTTTTCTGATTTCCAAATTTACAGGAATTCCTTGGCATTTCTGGAATTAGCTTAGTCTAGGATGTTTAGAGTTCCCAATTGAAACAATGTTTGAGTCTGTCCATGTGTTGTAGAATTAAATGGTATTCATTTTGTCTTCTGACTGCCAGTTAGTGTTTATGGGTGTACTCTGCAAGTCTTCAATTTGTCTGTCCTTACAGATAAATTACAGTCCTTATACTGTATTGTTGTAGATGAGTTCTATTTGTTTCTTCTTGGGCTTCTGAGTCTTTTGGTTTACTTAAGATGTTTAGGATAACTTTAGTTGGTTTGTGTAAGAGTTTGATGGTTTTTAATGTATGGCAATGCTATCCTTTTCATCTGCTTGTGAGGTGGGAAGTTATATAAATGTGATTAATAAGTAAAATAAATAGGCTGTGTTGGTTATTCTGTAGAGGGTTGAGTGGTCTGGCACATTTGATATTTTGTTTTAAGCTTGGGGTTTTTTTCTGGAGTAATTTGTACTCAGACTGTCTACTTAGCTTGGTAGAAGAATTTATTTGCTCAAATGACTAAAGGGAATTCTGCTAAATGAAGTCAAAGGTCTAGCCGCACAGCAAAGTAGAGATCTTGAGAAGATCACAAGTAGGGCATAAGGTCAACGATGAACACTATCCATCCTCTCACTGCAGCCACTTTGGGAATGACTCACACACTCATTCTCTTTCTCACATACTCATCCTCTTTCTCCTTAAACTGAAAGGTCACATAAATTTAGCATGCCTGTGTGCTGTTCACCAGTTTGTGAAAAATTAAATGCTTAAATTTACCTTCCTCCACATTCATTGAACAAATCTTCAGGAGACTGGTATAGTGTCTAACGACTTCCTCCTTCACTATTGATTCTTAGTGAGATAGTTTAGGGCCAGAGAGGTAGTAATTTGTCCAGGGTTGACTGATTAGTTTTAGGGACTGAGATTTTGAACCTGGGAGCCATTGTAACCATTTTTATAATATAGATATGTCGGAAATCTGGAAAACAATATATAATATTGTATGTTATGTAATACTAGCTGGATACCCGTAGGGGAAACAATGCAATCAGGCTTGATAAATTGACACTTACACATTGAGAATTAATGAGTAGTTACGATTGGCCTCTCCTCTCCCCTTTTCTCCCTCAGGCTTGCCCCACAGAAGCCTCTCCTCTCCTGTCCCCCTTCTCTCCCTAAGGTTTGCCCCACAGAGGCCTCTCCTATCTTATCCCCTTCTCTCCCTCAGTTTAATTCCTTAGCATCAGTGTGTTTTTCAGGTGGGGAGGGGGAGTAGAANTATTGTATTGTATTGTATATATTTAGATAGCAATGTAAGGTAGCATCTCACTAAATGTTGGAAAAAACTCTAGTTGTTGAAACAGAATGAAATGGATGTTCTTGTCCATGTGCCTCGTCTTCTTCTGAACAGCCATTTTTAAGGAAGAAATGCGACTTTAATAGCATAAAGAATCCAGCAATGAATAAGAGTGAGGAGCAAAGTGTGAGAGTTTGAGGAGCAGAACTGGGTGAATTTGGAAAATTCCAGGTCTTGTCTGTAACATTTCCTGCCTATAGAAATACAGGGGGGGAGGGGAAACCCAGGTCTTTGATTAAATTGTGTGCTTTTGTGTTTCTGTCTGAATAGTTATTGTTGTTCTGCCTTCACAGGCTTTTAGAATAATAACATTTTTATTGTTTTAGTTCAGTGAAATCGGTAATTTAACTAAATTGTATTTTTACTTTAAGATTCTTTAAATGAAATTGTGGAATATTAATGTTATAAATTACAGGCTGAAGCAATGCTTCAGGTTTAAAGGCAAGAAGAAAAAAGAAAAGAAATGTTCGTATGGCAAACATTGCACCTGTCTGCAATCCTGTCTCTTCCCCAGACTGTTCTGCAGTCTGAATAATAAACAAATAGCAATTATTTTATTGGTAGCTATTAAACTGTGCCAAAACCAGAAAATGTGCAGAAAATGGCAAGTCATGGTATTTAGCTATTATTTCATATCAGATGGTTATTTAAAAAATATACACGATGTAGCCAATGGTTTACAAGAGAACCTAAAGTTAATTTTCCTTCTTTCATTCCTTCACCTTTCATCCATTATGCTATCTCCTGATTTTGAAGATTCAGTACTGCTCTATGTGCTGCTGTTTCGCTCCATGTAAAATTGCCTTGTGGTTTATTCCAATGTCTAGTTATTTGTCTATATGAATGACAATTTTTTGCCATTATCTTCTGTCAAATCACAGCTGACTCCTGGTGACTCTAATGATAAAAGTTGTTTAAGTTGTCCTTTGTTGATGTACAAATTTTTGGTGCATTCCTGTGGCTTTGTCCCCTCTATTTCATGCATTGTCTGGCTCTTTTCCTTCCATCCCACTTGACCATCATAATAATATTTTCCTAATAGGTTCATTAGCTTCAGTGGTGGGTTGCAGGTGGTACACCCTGGTACGGGCGTACCGGAGCCTGGCCAGAGTACTGATTACCGTTCCGTACAGTGCTCCGGAGGGCCCACCCGAGCTCCTTACCGGTCTTTTAAGTCTTCTGCATTTCTGCGCACGGGCATGGCGCATAAAACGCCTGCGTGATGCTCCGCTGAGCAACTTGAGCATCGTGGAGGCTCGCAGAGGCAGTAAGATGTATGCATGTGCTGCGCACATCCATGGTGATGACACCGGGCCCATTCCAACCGTACTGGTTGGAACGGGATCCAGAACACACCACTGGGTTAGCTTTCAGGGTGTGTCCAAACTACATTGGTTTTTGGTTTTTCATAGTCCTTGTTCTCAATGAATCACCTTTTAAGGCCTCTTGGATACCTAAGAAATGCAAAGCAGCTTTCTCCATAGTTCAAAAAGAGCCAAGATATTTTTATTTTGATATTGCAGTGTAGCCCTACATCCACTAGTATCATAGCAGGGAAGATAATTAAATGGGCTATGCTAACATTTATGATAATTGAAATACCATGGTCTGTCTATCCACCTGATATTAGCTATATTTACTATGTGCCAAGACTGACTGCATTCTGTCTGAAAACAGGAAGAAGGGATTGGACTTTAAAGGTGGTCCATACTTGCTCTATCACAACTTCACTTGCAGAGTTCTGTGGCATTTTATAGATCTATGTTCTCCCTCACAGATATCCACATCCGGTTCTCACTGCCTTTCATGCCCTGTGACTGTTTATTCATCAGAATCTATCTTGCTTGTGTAGTAGCTAACATCCTTATCTGCAGCCTGTCTCAACATTCATCATCTGTGAATGTACCCTGTTCCCTTAAGCCAAGGCATGGGGAAATGTCATTCACAGATATGCACTTTGCATGAATTAGACTTTTCTTCCTTTTTTTTTCTTGAAGCGGCCAGTTCAGTGCAGAGGCTAAGGCATCAGGCTAGATATCAGGGAACCATGAATTCTAGTCCTGTCTTAGGCACAAAGTCAGCTGGATGACCTTAGACCAGTCTCTCTCTTAGCCCTGCGAAGAAGGATGTAAGGGCAAATGACTTCCAAAATCTTGCCAATAAAGCTCCAGAGACTTGCCCAGTCAATCATCAGGAGTCAAGACAAAAGTATCAGAATAGAATAGAATGGGATGGCATAGTCTGGGATGAGATGGGACAGGAGGGA